TGCTCCTCTTCGTCGATGTCGTTGAGACAGGGGTAGTGTTTGAAGAGACAACCCGACAACCGAGCACCGTTGCTGCCGGGTCCGGCAGCGGAGGAGGAGGTGGAGGACTGCATGGGGGAGTAGCCGCTGGTTGTGGAAGGGCCAGCTTCCGCGCGTCCGATGGGGAACTCGTCATCTTCCTCTTCGGGCCCATCAGGCTGGTCATCAGGGTTATCCGGGTTGAGGTCGGGCTCGTCGTCGTCCAGGTCGTTGGACGACTCGAGCTGGCGTCCATCTGGACGACCATCTAATGTGCGTCCATCTAATGTGCGTTTTTCCGGCTGGGAATAAGTTGTCCTTGCATCGCGGTCGGGCGAGGGGTTGTCGTCTTCGTCGTCGTTGATGCAAGGCAATGCGTTGTCTCGGACGGCGATAAATCGATCGGCATAGCGAAGAGTATTGAGTGTCTGTTCGGCGCACGTGCTAGAAGAGGCCACAGTAGCGATCATGAGACAAAGGCCGTTGGCAAAGGTGAAGAAGTCACGGAGTACCTTGGTAAGTTCGGAGTCACGGAAGGGGATATGGTCTTTACCCTGATCCATAGCACGGATGCACTCTTTAAGTGCTAGTAAAGACTTGTTAATGTTCGCACCATCCTGTTGTGTGTTCCGTCCGAATTGCACACTATCCGCCCCCCGTTCACTTCCGGCTAGATCAATGAAGGCCAGCTTTCCATGGGCCTTACCTCGTACACTTACGGCGACCGATCGACCCTCCTTTAACGCAGTTTGCAACGCGGTAGCCGATAACTTGCCATTTCGATCACCCATAGCTCCTTCCCGAGGGTTCTCAGCCCGAGGGTTCTCAGCCCGAGGGTTCTCAGCCCGAGGGTTCTCAGCTAACCGGTATTCGATGTCAGTCTTTTGTACCAATTCAATGGACAGGATAGCGTGACTACGACTTGACTCGTTATTACGTGAATTTTTCCCCGTACTACGAACACTGTTACCCAAGTCAATTACCTCCGCCATCTCCGCTTCCGTTGTAACCACTCGGATCACCAAGTCCTTCACCACTACACCACCTTCAGCCGATTCCATAGGACGTACTAAATTACGATTATTCAAGAGGTCATAAGCCTTGTTCGAATGGATCTCATAAAAAGAGATTGCCAACACAAACCTCTCACGATAAGCCGGCTTCTTCATCCACGCCTCCAAATCTATTGCCGCCCATTCCCACAAACCTCGACTACAAGAATCTTCCTGCTTCCCCCCCCTTTTCCGTGGACCCATCATCGTGTACGTCTTTCCGCTCCCTGTCTGCCCAAATGCGAAACATGAACAACGACCGCCGCACTCGAACATGGAATCCACCAATGTTCGTACACAACTCTTATATATCTACCAACACATATGAACTAGAAACACGTGTTAACTATGCACACAAATAATTACGTGTGTGTGCGACCATACACGCGCGTGCGACCATACACGCGTGTGCGACCATACACGCGCTGTGTGGCGGAAGTATTACAGTGAGATTGGAGCAATACTCGTCATACACTCGATCGAACTGGAACCCTTGTTGAGTCGTCTTGTCCGTAGTTCCACTCAGCTCTTTCCTAGTCTCGTGGAGCACCAGCTTCTGCCGACCGACCACATCCAATATATCCGTGTCATTCTTCGCTTCTTCTGCTGTCAATGGCTTCTTCCGGACGGCCACAGTTATTCGAGCTTTCGCTGCCGTGGGCTTGTTCTTGGGCCGCCGGTTCGCCGGTCCCAATGCCAATTCCTCACGCCGAGACTTACTAAACATCTCAGACGGCATTTTATAAGTTTTACCCTCATCCCTGGCTTACCAATTTCACCCCGGCCCGAAACAAGCACACCGCCCCTGTGCTTGTTTTTCTGTATCGTGTGCTCACTCATCTGATCCGACGGAAGTTGGAAGTTAAAAATCGCCATCCTCGGCGAAGATGTTGCTGCTGGCCGCCGTTGTGTCATGGGCGGCACCTGCCGCCGGCATGGCCTCAACTGGGGTGTAAAACTCTTCGCTGAAGTCGACCACCTTGGGTACGGCGCAAAGGTTCCTGTCCTCAGAGGATCCCGAAACAGGCCAGTCTTGAAGTTCCAAGCTGCAAAATGGAACAAG